AAACAAGTTTTAGGACCAAAATATATAAATACTTCAATCTTACAGGACCACCATTGAAATTTCCCCCCATGTTAAGTACATAAATTCGTTCTAATCCATTTATTAGATCACACAAAAACTGGCGAATTTTCTTTTGGGGAGATCAGTTTAATTGAACCGTGTACGTGTCCCGAGTCCCGACAAAAAACACTTCAAAATAAACCCAACAAATAAAAAATAAAAATAAAAATATAAAATAATCTCCAACTTCAATCTTCAGGCTATACATACACACATCACATATATATATATACATAGAGAGCGTGCCAAGCAAAAAACAACACACACAACACACAGTAAATTAAAATGGAGTGCGTTTTTGCAGACAATCAGGAAAATTGCATGAGCGGCTGCGAGTCCGGCTGGACCATCTACTTAGACCACTCCTCGATTTCTCCCTACGCCTCCGAATTTACCGCCGGCGGCCGCCGCGAAATCGGGGCTTTCGTCGGAGGGGACGAGGAGTACGAGGACGAGGATCTGTCCATGGTGTCCGACGCCTCCTCCGGCCCGCCGCATCTCCACGACGAGGATCGGGTCGTCGCCGGCGGAAGGCCGGAATCCGTCGCCGGCGTGTGCTCGTACAACTACGCCGCCGCGGCGGTCGAGGAGGCGCAGCCCCGCAGAAGGGGAAGGGAGAAACGGCGTCGTAGCAGCCAGGACGGGTCGTCCCTGCTCGACGACACTGCCAGCTCACCATTTTTCGATTTCTCCGATGTGAGTGTGTGCTTGTCATTTAGTTGAAATTTTGATTTTTTTTTTTTAAATTGGTAATTCTAATTTTGAATTTGAATTTGAATTTTTTTGTTTTGTAGAAGAAGTTTACTGTGGCTAGAAGCAAGGAGGAGGAGAATGTGTTGGAATATTCACAAGGCTACTCTTCTACACAGTTTGAGGTATTATTTTGTCAAAATTTATAATATTTTTTGAATTAAAAAAAATTGGTGTGTGTTTTGGTAATTTAAAATTGATTGAATTTGGATGTAATTTGCAGGTGAGGCCTCCATATGCAGAGCAATATGAGTTCTTTCAGTCAACAGAGTCTGCAGATCAGCTGCAGCAAAACCAGTTTAGTACCTTTTTTTTGAAAAAAAAAAATAAAAAAAAATCTTATATTATTTGATGTGATTTAAATATTTTTGTTTTGGGCCGGGCTCTTTTTTTTTCTTTTTTTTTGGGATTTATGTTTTGATTGAATTAAGTTATAGCAGGTGGCTTGAAGGCAAACGGTGGTGATTTCATGAAAATGTAGCTGTTGCGACCTGTGTGCATTCTCTATGTTTGGGTGCTTTGTGAAGGCAAAAGGGAGATTGAATCTTAAAAGAGATTCTAAATTCCTTTCTTTGCAAAAATGAAAAAAGACAAAAAAAAAAGGAAAAATAAATTGTAGATGTTGAATTTCATTTTGTTTAGAGATTCAAGATATCTTGTATGCAAATAATTATGGTAATCAATTGAGTCGATTTGTTTATTTTTAATTTCTTTTATTCTCCATGCTGCCTTTTGTTTCAACATATAGGATCCTCCAAAATTTGTCCAACCTTGGTTAACAGGTTAAGTGTATTGGGACTATTTTTCTCGAAACTTAAAACTAAACACTAATATTCCTTCTCCACAGTGGCATGACAATAATAATGACAGAAAATAAGATTTTGTTCATTATGTTGATGCAATAATTTTATTAGAAATTAAAAATTTAAGATTGTATAAAGTGGGCCAAATTGTCATATATCCGTGGAGAGAGATCTCAATAATCTATATATCATGGACAAAAAGCAAGTCAAGGTGCAAAAATCTTCAAAGTTAATAAAAGACAATAATATAAGCCTCTTGAGGTCCAACATATTACTTTTTTTAAATAAAGATAAATAAATTGGTCAAGTTTTAGGATAAGATTTGACATAATGGTTAGGCATTTTTTTGAATTGATCATTTATAAGACATTATTATAGATTATATGTAGACATTCACACACACTAGATATATATCAAATCGTTATTTTTTCTACATATGTGTATTTTCAATCTAAAATATCATATACTAAACCAACACAAATAAAAGCATGACATTTCATAGTAAAAATATGCAATTTTTGTTAAAAAAAATATAATGAATCGACTCGTCTAACAGTTAGACATACTCATACAAGAATATGTGTGTCGGTGTGTATTACACACATGCATTGGTTTTAATTTATGGTAACTACAAAGTGTATTACACACATGCATTGGTTTTAATTTATGGTAACTACAAATCACAAATGTTAGCACAAACTAGTTAGGTATACATAATGATTTTGTTCATGTGTGGTGTGTGATTTATATCTAGAGCGAAATATTGGTAAAAAGGCATTGGTTACAATGTGGACAAAGGCCTAATTGTTCCTTAGTTGCAAGACAAGGCTCCACACTAATTATTTTTTCCTCTTTTAATTAACTAAATGATATTTTTTGGAAATTTATAAAGTGATGATGAAANCAGAAAGTTGTAATAATCCTATGTTATGGGCAGTCAGAGAGGAAGATTACACAGAGATAAAGGTGTAAATAACAAGCCAAAAAAACATAGATATATTATAATTTATATGTTGGAATATTTCATACGCATCTTTATGACCCATTGCAAAGTGCAGAGATCCTGCCTCACATCTTCCAGACCCAATAACACCAATCCTCTATTCATCTTCTCAATTTCAATCTGCCTCTTATTTTATTTCATTTGGAAGCTTCTGTGGGTTGTCTTTTTGTGGCTATCTAAAAGCTTGATATTACATATATATTATAATTAGTAGACTTTTAATTTTATTTTTGGGTGTCTTAATAGGTCACATACTACACATACGTTTTTGGAAGATCCATTGCATGATTATATGAAAGTGTATGTTTTATTAGTAGGTCTGTAAACGAGACTGAAATTTAGCTCGAGCTTGGCTAGTTTATCACTGATAACGAGCTGAGTTCGAGCCTTAACGAGCTCATCTCGAGTTTTAACGAATCGAACTATAGAAAATTATATAAAAATATCTCTATTCGAGCTTTATTGAGCTTAGCTTGACTCATTAACCAAGCGAGCTTTAGTTGAACACGAGCTCGACTCGTTTATCTAACCAGCCGAACTGAACTCAAGTCTTGACGAGTCGAGTAAAGCTCGTTTAATTTAACAACACTAGTTATTATGATTCAAATAGATTTTGATCACTTGGAGATAATTTCAAATTTAGTTAAATAATTTTACTGTGAAAAAACTACACTATCAACATAAATTGTCCTCATCGAGTGTTTTTACTGTTGGATTACACATACTTACTCACTTAGTGTGTATTAATCTAAACGGTGAAAAAAAAAAAACCAAAGA